GAGTGGAGGCTTTTTATGCTTGGGTTGAGCAGAAAGACATTATCTTTCCTCGACTTTGGCAAGGAGAGAGGGCCAGCTACTTGCTACTCCACCTCTCTGAGCTCGCAGGTTTTCACCCCAGCTTTGGAACCTCAAGTCTTACTTTTAAATAGAACAACAGAGTTTTAGTTTAAGCTCCCTTCGGCGGCAGCGAAGGGCCAGCGCCTGTGGGAACAGAATTCCCACCAAGCTGCAGCCTGAGTGGCCAGGCCACTGCCAAAGAAGCAGGCCGGTAACTGTGGAGATGCAATGCTGGCTGAAATAGCAGTAGGTTAAAGTGCGGCCACTGTGCCAAAGTTAAAACAACAAAGCTCCAGTACCACCATCGTGCACAGGGAGAGTCACCACTCCCAAAGCAAGAAGAAGTTACTGTGCATTATTTGGAGCCACAGACAAAAGACTTCTTGCCCATGCTAATGTTATTAACTGATGATACATGCTAGTGTGTTCCGGAACCAAAGATATCAGGCCAAGGGCTTCAAATGTAATGTACAAATGGAACCTCCCAGTTCTGAACAAGTGCCAATCAATCACCAAATGGAGCATCCATGACCACAGGAAAGCTAACATCAACGCAATACTTAGAATGTGCCAGGAATTTTGCAAAGAGCTGTCTAGGACCCATAATACTTTGAAAGGAACAGTTTAATTTTAAATTGTTTTAAGGTAACTTTAATGTAACAATAATTCATATATAATACAAATGCCATTCTTAAATACAGTTACTTTCTATCAGTAATTTTTGGCATTTCCTTAGAAAGGAAGGGAGGAATCCCTGATGACAGGAATACCAAAGACCTGTAAAAGCCCTAACATAGCCTGAAAACACCCTGAGTTTATCTACTGTTATTATCCCCATGGGACAGGTGAAGAAAAAATTGAGTGTGCTGGTTAGCTTTGGCTACCAACTTGCCACAACCTACAATCAAATGGAAGGAGAGTCCTAGTGAGAAATGGTCTAGACCAGGTTGACCGGTGGACATGACTGTGGGACTGTCTTGATTAGAATTGAGATGGGGAACCCACTCTGAATGTGGGCAGCAGCACCATGCATGGGCTGGGCCAACTGTGTTAGGGTGAAGACAGCCAGCTGAGCATAGGCCGCAAGCAGGCCAGGAGGCTTTGGTTTCTCTGCTCTCAACTGTGGAGGTGATGCTTTAAGTTCCTGCCTCGACTCCCTGCGGTAATGTTAAGTCAAACAGACGCCTTCTCCCCGATGCTTTTGGCCAGGCATTTTATCACTGCAGCAGACGTAAGAGTAGAACACTGTGGTATAATACTGGTCAGAGCCATAGCGCTAAAGAACGACAGAACTGAGCCCAGGGAGTCTGAGCCCAGCTCCCATTCTTAACCAGATGCCATATGCCAGCCTTTACTACGCGGGAGCATGTGTGGCACCCCGTGCTCTCAGCGCTAGGTCGGAAAATTAAGGACACGGGAAGGTTCGTGATCTCAAGGGATATTTCACCTCGTTGCAAAGGCTCCAAAGTAAAACTTAAACAGGTTATAACACATCCACCAATTTGCCTTGTGACCTTAAGCCTTCCTCTCTGAGCTTTATTTGGGGGAAGGGGAAGGGAATTTAAAGAACTCAAGAAGTTCAAGCTCTGACAGCTAGGATTCCCTTAATGGTTCTTTGGCTCGTTCACAAATACAAATGCCGCTCTCTGAGAAAGACAAAAGACCAAAAGAGGGCAAGGTAACACCCAAGGGGAAAATACCTCGACACAAAAGCGAGTGGCCATCTGTCTGTGAGGAGAACTACCTGTGACAGCTGCGGAATGGCCCCCTCCTCCTGTGACGCTCTTGATACACCTAGGCTCGCAGAAGTCACTCAGCTGCTGGGGCAGAAGCACATCTTCCTTATGGCCAAGGCCGAGCTGCCCGTAGCTATTTGCACCCTGGGGATAAAACACAACACAGATGAAGAGCAATCTGAGTGCCCAACTGTCAGCATCCACCTACCTGTCAGCGTCCCTCGCCCTGGCACACCTCTCAGAGCCCGTGACATTTCACACACCCACTCTTCGGAGGCTGTCTTGTGCACCGTGATTTCTATTTCAGAGGCATCCTTGGCATCCACAACTTAGCCAACCTCGTGGCTCACCTTTCCCTTCAAGTACACAACCCTGTTCTAGTTTGTTGCTGGGGGGAGAGGGGACCAAAATTGATTTAGGGAAGGAAAGGGCAGAAGCCATGAAGAATACTACCTGTGACTCACTGGTTCTCTCCACTAACTTTCTTATACAGCCCAGGCCCATCAACCTAGGGATGGTGCCACCCACAGTGGACTGACTGGACCTTCCACATCATCATCAACCAAGATGATTGATCACAGACTTGCTCACAGGCCAATCTGATCAAGGCCTTCACCTGACATTTCTCTTCCCGGGTGATTCTATGTTGCATCACAAGGACCAATCAAGACTAAACTGTCTTTGGGAATCAGTCCAAGGATCCCCTCTGATAAAAGCTAATTATCTAGGAAAGCCAAGAGAAGAAAAAAATTAGGGGGCGAGGGGACGAGGGAAAAGTCAGCAGGAAACACTCTGTCTGGAATCAGTTTTGCACCCCTCCCCTCCCCCCATCCTCACTGGGAAGCAGGCAATAACTCTCTGTATTTATTCAGTTAGCTAAGGATGCTGCATCCCGAACAGGAAGCACTATTGTTTATCTGTCCAGTACAAGACCTCGGCGGTATTCGCCAAAGGGCCCTTTCAAGTATAGCATTTGACAACTCCAAAATTCAGATCCCCCTTGTAGATCTACACTATCAAGTCATACAGAGTACAGGTCTAGGGATTCAGCAGAGCAAGAGAGTGCTGGCCTGGCATGTCCCTAGGTTCAGTCTCCACCACTGGAAGGAAAAAAGTCTCTAGTCTGAAACCTTTACCACTAGGTTACCTAAACAGAATTCAGTATACACACAAATGTATGTCACAAAGATGCTATAAAGACAATGACAAAAGACACAAACACAACAGTGAGCAGACACTGTAAAGAGCCTGAGGCTCAGTATGTTCCAAGTCCTCAGAGCCTGTCATATTCAGTCAAACAAGAGGAACTGTGACCCCACGAAGAGAATCTTCATACTTCAGAAATTCCTCTCTTCAAGTGTCTACTCCCAAGCTGGTCCCTTTGGAGGTGAGTGGTGGAGCCATTTAAAACCCGTTTTTGAGGGCCCCCCGGATGAGAACGTGTGATTTAAAACAACTACCAAGACATGAATACAAAACACACAATTACCCTGCTGTCTGTTGGGTATTTCCAGCCACCTTGAGCAGCAGGGCTCCAGGATGAAGAATGAGATATGTACGGGGCACAGGTCAAGAGGGCCTTGGGAACAATACAGCTCCAACTAAGTGCGTCTCTGCATACATCATAGGCACCTTCCACCCTCACAACCAAGGAGCATTAGCATTCATTTTACAGATGAGGGAACTAAGGCCTGGGGAGGCTCAAGAAATGACCCATAGTTACAGAACTGGGTGAGCAAGTTAGAAGTCTGCTTCTTTCCTTAGATCTTACTTATCAGTAAGAAATAAGGATGTATTCGGAACCAGCCCAGAGCTTAAGCCACATGACTCTAGACTACTGCTCACCTCCATCATTTTATCCCCATTCTCTTCTTTGTATCATTCCTTGGCACTACAGTGCGTCTTGCCTACTTGATTAGTCTACCTCCTCTCCTAGAAACCATGAAGTCAGGGACGTGGTCTTCTTACGGCTATTCTCCTAACCCTGAAACTGCACTGGCCAGGTGTGGATGAAAAGGTCAAATGCAACACCACGGTTGCAGAGTGAAGCAGAGAGCCTACACTGGGGTTTCTAGCCAATCTGGATGCCCCATTACCAGGCTTGCAGGATGAGGAACACCTGCGGGAGAAGCCAGGCAAGAGCAATCCGAGGGTCGTGCTATGTACCAATCTCTAGTGTAGCAAGAGGCCTTAAACCCAATACAAAGCTGGGTAAAGGAAATTTTAATACACCCTCTAACAATTATGTTATGATCCTTCTTTACAAAGGATCCAGACAGAACACACACACACACACACACACACACACACACACACCCTTGTGAGGACGAATTGTGTTCCTCTAAAATTTCTATGTTAAAGTCTGACATATCACAATATGGCTGTATTAGAGACACAACCTTTAAAGAGGTAATTAAGGTCAAATGATGAGACTATAAAAGTGGGACCCTAGTCCAGTCCATCTATAGTCTCTTCCTAAGATACCAAGGATGCCCACGCACAAAAAAAAAAAAACCGCCACTGAGGCCTCAGAGAAACCCAAAGTGCCCACACCTTAATTTTGGAAGTGCAGCCTCCAGCACTGTGAGAAAATAAATTTCTACTGTTTAAGAACCCAGCCTGTAGTGTTTTGTCACAGCAGCAGAAACCACCTAATACATGCACCCTGATTACACAGCAGGAAGAATACCCCAGCAGGCCTCCAAGCACACTAGTAAACAGAGGTTCAAGCCCCATTTCTGTCTCTGTTCATTCAGGGCCACATATGAAAGACTTTCTCTGTCAGATGTTTCTCCTCTGCCAAAAAGACAGCAGTCTCCTGGCTGGAAATGACAGGCAGCAACACATTCAGTTATTAACCCCGCCCCCACCTCAAGTGCTACCTCAAGGAGAACCAGCTAGGGCATACCATGCTCTCCCTCCCAACAACCTTACACTCAACAAGTGAAAAGTATGTCAATAAATACCAGTTTTGGCAGAAACATAGGTATTACAACCTCCTCTAGTACAGGAACTGGAACCCCTTTACATCTACGTATTTCCCAAACATGAACACATAGCTGTGGCACAAAGGTACTCATTCATTCGTTTCATCCATTCGTTCATTCATTCATTCTTTAATCAACAAATATTTCCCTGGGGTCTACAAGATGCCAGGCACCAAGAGAGACAATGCGAACACCACCAGCTCAGTACTCACTCTCAGAACACCTCCGCTGTAGCCAAGGAGACTGCCGTTAACCAATCATGCATTCCGATTACAATTTTGGCATTTAGTATTAAGAACTGCAACACCCAGCATATGCTTCCTGCCACGCATGTCCCCCACACTCGCGAGCATAAAGCCTCCTCTCCAGTCACACCATAGGATGACCATGGTTCTCTCCAAGCTCAAACCTAACCAGCCCAGACTCCCACGCCCCCAGAAAAGATCAGATCCGGTCACAGCAGAGTAACAGCAATTACGCAGGGTCTGCGCGTCACGCGGGCACACTCCACAGGCCTCACATCCCCCGGATGCTCCCCAGGGTGATGGCGCTGGAAAGGAGCCTTCCATCCTCCGGGCCAAAGGGAAGGTTCGATGACACAGGTGGCCCCACGAGCTCTGGCAGCAAGCGATCTTCTTTCTGTCCAGCCTCCACGCTGTCTTCCCAGGCGCTCTGGCGGCCAAGGGCTTTCCCAGCATGGACGCTCTGCCCTGAAGGTAGGGTCCTCCCGAAGTGCCTCCGTGCCCCCCAGTCCTCATGCCACAATTAGCAGCAGGTCCCTCAGGCACCGCGGGGAGACCCTCCCTCCGCACCCTTGCCTCCCTGCTGCAGCCCAGAGTGCGCCAACCCAGGACCCTGGCTTGGGCCTCTGCCTCCCAGTTCCCCCGCCACCCACGCAGACGCCGGGAGCTCCCGGGTCTCCGCGCCCCTTAGTCGCTTCCCGAGCCCGGGGGCGGAGCCACGTACCCAGGCGAAGAGCGCGGCGGTGGTGGAGTCAGCCTCCTCCGAGACACAGGACTCGCGCGCCATGCACACGCTCCGCCGGCGCTTCCGGGAGGGGCTGGCACGGGGCGGGGCTGCGGGAACCAGGGGCGGGGCGAATCCAGGGGCGGGGCCAGTCCTGGAGCTGGGCGCGGCCAGCCGGATGAATCTAGGGACTAGGCGAGGGCCGTGGGCGGGGAGTCTGAGGATGCTGGGGTCAGTTCTTCCCCCAGCTCGAAGGAACTCAGCCAAAACACTGTCAGAAGGGACCTCGCAGCCTCCAGGCAACACACCCGTGTGGGAATGTCTTCTGCACCCACACTCGTGATGCATTACGCATCACGCTCAGTCATCCATCCAGAAAGCTCTTCACGGGCCCCATGCTGCCCAGAGAGGCTGACTTGACCGGGATGACATAGCGTGGTGGGGAAGGAAGCTGAGCCTGAGGGTGGGAAGGGTCCATTCCGGAGTTATCCAGAAGCTGCCTTGGCCTGCTTCGCTGTGCGTTTGGGAAACTGAGAGTATTGAGTGGCGGTGATCGCCTTCTAAGCCTGACCCCATGGCGGGAACACGCCCCTGACTACACCCGTAGAGCTGGCTATTGTCTGTTGTGCCCCTGCGCTGTCCCTACCGTCTACAACTGCCTGCCCTAATTCTGGTGATCAATATGAATAATTCTCACCCAAGACAGATTTTCATGCAATACAGCCTTTGTCGACGCTGTCATGATGTTGGTGGGAGTTAAATAGTACAAGGTACCAAAGCCACTGGGAAAATGGAATTCTGGAGGTGGGGAGATAGTGTCACGTTTAAGGCAATGATCTGCATTCTTAGCTCTGGTCTCTCTGCAGACAAGCTTTCTTCTCCCCCTGGGCCCTCACATTGCAAAGTATCTCAGGGAAGCTACTATCCAGGTCTCGCCTGTTCACGGTCGTCACACTCCTTGGTTGTTACTGCCTGCTGGACCTCGTGAAGACAGCCCCTGGTCTTTTCTCTCCCAGACTGTGGCATCTTGAGAAGGTGGGTGGTGATACTTAGAAACACAGACAAGCCAGGCAGAGATGCTCTATCCTGAAGCCCTAAGAGATCCAGGGCAATGTTTACCAGTTCTCTGTTGGGGTTTTGACCACTCCTTTTAAGGGCATTGTAATAGGATGTCACAGTAGGGTGTAATGGGGGGGTCCTCTCTCCTTTTCAGCAGTTCCCAAAGCAATAAATGCCAATAACTCACACATTATAAACTAAGGTGGGTTTGTGCAGGTCTTGTGCATATTGTCACAGTCTCTGTGCTTTCCAGACAAAATCCCAGCGTTGATGAAGAAAAGTGGGCACTAAAGTCCCACCCCTAACTAAGAAGCTGTTTGCAACTGATACCTAGGAAAGAGAAAACCAGTTTTCTCCAATGGAGTGAACTGGGTGTATCAACCCAACTCCAGGGCAAGCCCCATGCTTAGGAACAGCTGACCAACACAAAACAGACTCCATATTTCATGTATGCTTTTTGTTGTTGTTGTTGTTGTTGTTGTTGTTATGGCTTAGTATTTTTTGTCTTTTGGCTTTTCGTTTTTCTTGTTGGGGGTGTTCAGAGGGAACAAGAGGGAGGTGAAGACGATCTGGGAGGAGAAAGAATATAATCAAAGTATATTGTGTAAAACTTTTTAAAAATAATGTTTAAATGTAATAAAAATAAAAATAAAGTAAGGTGGGAGAAACCAAGCCAGAACTTGTGAGGCATGTATCAAGAAATCTGGATGGATTCCTGCTTAAGAGACAAGAGAGGCTGAAAGAGATCCCAACGGGATATTTTGCTCCTGTTATCAGTGTGATGTCATGATATGAATCCCCACCATCTCAGCTCCAAGGAAAGACACTGCAACACGACCAAGAAACCATTTGGATTGGGGGATGCTTGGCTCCTGATGAGAAATGCAATAGCTAGCCACCAGACAAGGACTGATCCCTGGTCAGAGAGAGCCTTCTGTCAAAGTCAGCATGAGCAAATTAGCAGCAGCCTTAGACTGTGCTGGAGAGCATTTAAAGGGATAAAATGGCACCCACGGGACAGGTGGCCACCAGGTTCCCCGGGACTGATGGAGATGAAGTTAATAGTCTCCTAGCCAGAGAGAAACACCAGCATCAACAGACACTGAGCCTTGCAAACAGAGTGGACTGACATTGAGACTTAACGAGAGCAGAAAGAAACTTGGTCCAACGAGACCTTCCCCGCTTCTTCCAGCTCCTGCTACCTGCCACTCAGGTCCTCAAGGAAACTAAGCCTCCAGGGAGTGGGAGGGGTGTAAGGAAATAAAGAAACGGACCCCAGTCTCTGTCCTAGAGGAGGAAGAAGACTCTGACCTCAAAGTCTGATGTTTCCATTACATAGAAAGGGACTTTCTTTTGTGATGCTTTGGGTGGAATCCAAGGCATTATACAAGCTAGGAGAGAACACTAGCCCTGAACCCACAGCCCTAGCTCAGGACTGGACCTTTAAAATACTGACATGGGGAGGAGGTACCCTGAGGTTTCAACAAAGGTGCAAAGAAGAGCTACTTACAGAACCAGTTTTATGGAATTTGGGAAGTGGGGTGTTTTGAATGGGAAATTTCCCCCGCTGACTCTGGTATTTGAACACTTGGTCCCCACCAGTGGCGCTGCTGGGGAAGGTTGTGGAATCTTTAGGAGGCCCAGCTTTTACCACACAGCCTGTCTGCTTGCCCACCTAAGACTGAGCAGGTGCCACGTTCCCAAGGCAAAAAGTGGGACTAAAGTGGAATTTCCAGGATATTTTCACTTTTCCAAGATGAAGCCATCTAGAACAGGAAAGCTGAGCTTCTGGGGCCTCCTCAGCAGAGTCCTCACAGCAGGGACCCAGGGAAGAGTAAGTGCACAGAGAACCAAGGTGCAATGAGGTGCCAAGGGAGGAGGCCAGCTCTGCTTTCTACAGAAAGATTACCAAGGTGCTGGCCAGTTCTCTCAACTAGAAAAGCTGTCGGCAAGTGTTTTTTTGTTTTTGTTTTTAAATATGTTTCGAGTCATTGGAGAGCTTCCAAAGCAACAGAAACCCAAGGGGCCCTGACAGGAAGCCAATAGGTTATACCAGGCACGCCTTTCCTTGAAGCACTTGCTCATTAGCAAGCATGACTTGGAGGCTGGGAATCTGAGGTGAGAGCAGCAGTCTTAGCAGTGATTTTACAGGAGGGGGTGGGGAGAGTGAAGTAGGACAGATAAGGAGCCAAGTCCCCTAGGTGGGAACTCTAAAGGGCTACGTACTGAGAGCAAAGGTGACCCGGAAGTAGACCAGCCTCACCAAACTGAAGCTCGGCTTCTCATTGGCTCAGTCCCTAACTGGACCAAGATCTTCCCATGCCATCGTAAACACACTGGCTGCTAGACACAGCAGTTATTCTCTCTGGAGGAAGATAGACTCATCCAGAAGCTGTGGGGGAATCTTGGTTAAAACAGTTATCGCTAATGATTCTTTGCCTGTAGAAAATAAGGTGTTGGAGGCCAGAACGGGGCATCAGACCCCCTGGAGCTGGAGTTACAGGCAGCTGTGGGCTGGCAGCTGTGGGTGCTGTGACCCATCTCAGGTCCTCTGTAAGATAAGTGTGTGCTCTTAACTGAAGAGCTGTCTCTTCTAAGCCATGAATCTGCTTTTTGCAAAGCCTCGTGTGACATAATGTTCTCCAGTAACTCAGTGCAGGAAACCTAGCTCGCATTCAGACAGGGAACAGGAGAAGGAAGCCTTCCCAAAAAGTGGTGATGAGAGCCAGGTGTGCTCAGCTTACCGTAGCTCATGGTTTTACACTTTAAAGAAGCAGAGTGGTATATAGTTATTATTTTATATTTTGCATCTTCTTAAAAATATGTTAAGTTAGTATACAAAGTAATGGGTTCCATTGTGGCATTTTTGTTCTTCATTCTAAGTCAGTGTCCTCCTTCAGGGCTGAGTCTTGGTACCAACCATCACCACTGCTAGGGTCTCTACACTAATACAATTGTGAACACAAAATTGAGTCTGTTTTTAATATATGTTTGACAAAAAAAAAAAAAAAAGAAAATACTTTTTGAGAGGCAACATGGCTCAGCAGTTAAAGGTGCTTGGGGCCAAGACTGATGACTGGAGTTTGATTCCTGAGGCACAGATACACACACACACACACACACACACACACACACACACACAAGCACGCGCGCGCACGTGCACGCGCACACACGCATATACACACACTCAAACACACTCACACACACATACATTGTAAAATGTACTTTAAAAAAAACACACTTTGAGAACATGAACCTTGAGTTTATTGTCCAGTGGGATAACAATCTTTTAAATTATAAATGTAAAGTACACAGTGCACTGAAGACAGGAGCGAAATGGATCACAGTTATCTTTATCCACTTCACGGACATTAACATATGGTCTCCGTTATGTATTGCTTTGAGAAGTCCTCGCTTGTTTCTTTCCGTGGAAGCCAGCTTACAAACGGTCAATGATTCTGTACATGTTGCTATATCTTGCTACTTCTGAAACTCCAAATGCCGAAGCATGAAGTTAAGGAACATAGGCATTCTGACAATTCACATTTGTGTTTTCTTCAAAAAAAAAAAAAAAAAAAAAGTCAAACATGCTGCTTGTGACAAGGAATGGCTCTCTGGTAAAGAATTGCCAGCCACGCTTTTGATTCCACCCTCTCCTGGTGTTTGAATAATTATTTAAAATTTCTTAGGTATTTTGAAAATTCTAAAACTCCTGGATCCCTGATTTGCCAAATATCATGATCCAGAGGTTAGATACAGTTGGGCTCATCACTAAACATTTCCACTATCTTGCAGCTACTAATGATAAGGTTGTGACCCTACTATTTATTTTAAAGTGCTTTACTCTGAGCAAGGATTAAGCACCATCATTTTAAATCCTGCTGACTGGGATTCTCCAGCATCATCGAAGTCCTGTGAGAATAACCAGACACAGCAGCTGGGTTCCCTGTTTGCTGTCTGTTATGATTTCTTTGCAGTGCTTTTCCTGGTAACCAAGCAGACTATTAACTAGCTGGTCTCTATCTCAAATGACTTTGGATGAACTGACATATCTACTCACTGCCGTATATATGCTCAACAGCTGTTAAAGTGAGGATGTTTACAAAGACCTGAGATGGATGAATTGTTCTTCCTCGATCTGCTTCCTTGTAGAGCATGGGATGAAACACAGCACTGTGGGATATTTGTACACTGGGTGAAGTTCTGTCCTTGTGATTTGTTTAATAAAAATTCGAATGGCCAATAGCTAAGCAGGAGAGGTTAGGCAGGACTTCCAGGAGAGGTTAGGCAGGGAGAGGAACTTGGAGATGAATCTAGACAGACAGGAGATGCCACTGAGTCATAGAGCAAATTGTCCAAACAGAACTGAGGAGAGGCAAAAAAAAAAAAAAAAAAAAAAAAAAAAAACCCACGTGACAGAGCATGGATGACTAGAAACAGGTATTGAAGTTATCATAATTAATAATAAGTCTCCTTGTCATTATTTGGGGGCTGGCGGTCCCAAAGAAAGTCTGACAAGAAAGACCAACAACAATACAGCTTTTAACAATTTCCTCTGAAGTCTTAAAAAGATTTTTTTAAAATCTAGTGTAAAAAAAAAAAAATCTAGTGGACTCGAAGCATGTTCAATGGTATATGACTTTACTATTATGTGAGAAACAGGTAGAATTTTTAATTTTTTATTTTATCTGTATGGATGTTTTGCCTCCATGTATGGCTGTGCACCATTTGCATGCATGCCTGATATCTACGGAGACCAGAAGACATTGGATCCCCTAAAACTGGAGTTCCAGATGGTTGTGAGCCACCACGTGGGTACTGGGAATCAAACTCAGGCCCTCTAAAAGAGTGGCTAGTAAACCCGGCGGTGGTGGCACACGCCTTTAATCCCAGCACTCGGGAGACAGAGCCAGGCGGATCTCTGTGAGTTCGAGGCCAGCCTGGGCTACCAAGTGAGTTCCAGGAAAGGCGCAAAGCTACACAGAGAAACCCTGTCTCGAAAAAAAAAAAAAAAAAAAAAAAAAAAAAAAGAGTGGCTAGTGTTCTTAACAGCTGAGTCCTCTATCCTACCCTGGTGGTAGTGAACTCTTAAACTGTACTGTAGGTTCTCTCTCTCTCTCTTCTCTCTCTCTCTCTCTCTCTCTCTCTCTCTCTCTCTCTCTCTCTCTCTCCTCTCTGTCTCCCTCCTCATCCCTCCCTCTCTTCCTCTCTTTCTCCCTTCTTCCTTCTCTCAATCCTTCCCTTTTCTCTTTACATCCTTTATGAAGTTTATAGCTTCGCTCTGCTACATTCTCCCACCATGCCTTGCTTCACCACAGACTCAAAACACAGGAACAGCTTCTAATGGACCAAAGCATCCAAACCTATGAGCCAAAATAAACTTTTCTTCTTTACAAGCTGATTGCATCTGGCACTTTGCTACAGTAATGAAACTGTTTACGCAACTGCTCACACTAACGCTGCACAGCTGAGACCACATGTGCTGCCCATCCTCACAGTCCTCACACAATTACACTCTCGGGCCCAGACTGCTCTCCTTGGCCCCTCTCCTTTTCCTTCCCCATGTCCTACCTTCTTCCCTCACTGTCTTCTCATTTATGTCCTAGTGTGAAACCTTGAGATAAAGTGCCAGGGAAAGCTGGGATTGCAGGCGCTGCCATGCCTGGCGGAGTCTTGGTGACTTCTGTGTCCCCATCAGACATTGCATTGGAGCCAGCCTGCTCTTACCAGTCATGCGCTAGGACCAAGCCCTCTGCACTTCTGTCCATGCTAGCAACAGGGACAGCTAGTCTCCTGTACATCTAGTGTGTGAACACGCCTGAGCTGTTACAAAATTGGTGACAGGTCACAGATACAGACACACTCGTCAATTCGTCCAAAGTGGCCATTTGCTAATGACAGACTGGGATGAGACCAGCTCTGAGCGGTGTCAAACAACTTGCCCATCAAAAAATGGGCATTCGGTACAAAGGCCATGATGGGGGGTGGGGGGGAGTGGAGGGAAGAAAGGGAAGGGGGAGAATGATTTAATTATATTTTAATGAAATAAATATTTTAAATGGGAATTTGGTGAATCACATGGCATGCGAATTATATTTCCCTAAGCAGGTGCCAAAACACAAAACAAAAGCAGAAGTTAGCTGTGGCTGAAGCGTCCAGGTGTGCATTTTCAGAGACAGAAAGAGATGGGAGACTTTGTTAACCCAGGAGCTGCTGTCCTTCCTCAAGCAGGTCTTGGGAGAAGCAAGAGGCGGCCCTGGCTCTGAAGTGATGCTCATTGGCGTTCTGGATTCAGACTGGAGGCATCACACACTGGGCTGCCTGCTGACCTTAGTGAGGGCATCACTGACGACATCGAGGTCATACCGCAACTCATTCACAGCGCTGGCTATGCTCTTGGCGTCTCGCAGAACCTGAACACTCTGAGTGTACGGATTGTACTTCACTCCAAATGGGCGCTTTACAGTTTTGGTAAATTCTCTATTTAAGAAAACAAGTAAAGGAGTGTTAATTTCTATGAGAGTGAGTGAGAAAACTAAACAAAGGACAGAAGACCTGGTCACACACAGATACAGACACAGACACAGACAGACATACACATACACAGACAGACACACATACCTGCTTTCTCTGTCCTGACACCAGTGGCCTCAACACCATCTTTTGAGGGAAAGCTCAATCCCTCCTCTCTCTCCCTTTCCTCCCCCCCCCCATTCTCCCATACTGAGCACTAACCCCATGTCTTCTGTCTTGGAAGTGATCCACAACCCATCTTTTGACCTCACGGCTTCACTAAGGGCATCCACCACAGTAGCTTTATCTGTCAGTATGTCAGTAGATGAGGGCAATACTGAGCTACACAGTAACAGACTCCTCAGCCATACCTTACATAACAAAAGAGGGGACAGAATGGGGGAGGGCAGAGGGAGTCCTACCCTCCTGTACTTGTGAGATTTTTCGGCTTAGAATGTTTCTAGCTTTCTCTCAAATGGCTGGAGTTCCTCCCCCCCCTCCTCATTTTCTCATGGTTTAAAATCTGTTTCCTTTATCAAGCTGACCTTTGAACCTCTTACTTGGTACCCTACAGAACAATCATGCTCAGAGACCCCAAAGGATAACTGTGCAGCTGAAAACAAGTGTACATGCTTGGGGACTGGAATCCAGGTTCCCATCCATCTGGTCTCCCCAGTGGGGACCAGTGCAGCTTTGCACAAGGATGCTGTCAGTGCTAGAGAAAGCACACCTGCCATGGTTGCCATGGTTATTGGGTTCTGTGCATAGCAAGCCCCTGGGAGATAAGCATTTTCCTCAACCCCTGCATGCCCCTTTCCTCACAGTGTGGCTTCATGTCTCCCTGCATCACATGCTAGTTCCTGGAGCCTGCTTCCATAGGCACGTCCTCCCTGCTACCGTGACCTCAGTCCAGATTCTACTTTACATGGAGTTCACAAGAATCTAAAAAGTGTCTGTCTGTGCTCCAGCTCTTCCCCTCTAGACTGCACCCTTACCTGATGATGAGTCGGGAGATCTGGCTGCACTGAAATATCCCCACGCATCTCTCTCGCTTCATCTTTCTCCATGTCGTTTCAGCCTAAAACTTGACACGTCCCAGTTCTAGCTAGTCTTCCACCTGCCTCGCTTACCTCTAAGATTTCTGAGATTCTCCAGCTGGAGAGGAGACCAGTGGAGGCAAGACAGTGCCTCCATTATTGTCACTTCCTGTATTACTACAGTAGTGTATCTATCGTTTCTTTTCCCGCTGAACTATGAACTCTGCTGGGAAGGAATGGGGAGGAGCCAACCTCTCAATGTATCTCATTCCCATATGCAACTAATTAATATATAATATTCAACCGACTCTAAACAATGGATATGTGGGCACCCGATTACCTGCTCGCTCACACCTGTGGTTATTGTATCTTTGGACATTACTTTTGCAGCAAATGGAAACTTGAGGGAGATAGGATTTACCTCATCTTCTCCTTTGCATCTTCAAAGCTCTCAGACACAAAGTAAACATCCTGGAAGGTTGTGATGAGACATTCCTGCTTGCAGGCAACCTTGGGATCAAAGGGCTTAACTTTGGCATGTCCAGAAAGCGCATGCTGGAGGGGCAAAGATCGGCAATCAGATACTGCCTCTGTCTTCACAGAACACACGGCTGCAGGGACTGGCTCTGAGTCACGCAAGGGACCTGCCTGCATCTCTGCTTCATCCAGTCTAGCCCAAGAAAAGAGGCTTGCTGTCCCCCACAAATGACTCAAGACCATCTCAGTGGTTTTATTTTGACTTCCTTCATCACATAGGAGGTACCCAAGGATCTTTATTGATTCACTTATTTATTTATTTATGCCTTATGGCACCTACTCTTTACCTCCACTAGTCACTCTTACATTTATTTATCCACCACCAGAGAGCAGCCTCCTTGCACACAAGACAGTACCTTGGACAGCGTCTGTAGCGTGGCTTACCTCACAGAGCTCACTTTCCTATTTGGTACAGAGCTTATTGCTTGCATCCCAGAAATTTGTTTAAAGCTTTAAAACACTTTCTATTTAAAAGACACATTTTTCCCCTAGAAATTTGGGAGAGTAGAGAAAATTGTTCTCAAAACATGTTTACTGCCACCTAAAATATTTGCCGCGGTAAGCACTTGCTCAGACACAAGCCCTGCCTCCAGACGTGCTGATAGTGTTGGTGGACACAGTTATGTGCAAAGACTTACGACTCTTACTTTGAGCTCACTGATGGAAGAAAGCAAGCCGGCACCGAAGACTCTCAGCTGTCCATCTTGTTTGCACAGACCAAACTCCACAGTGAAAAAGTAGCACTGCAAAAGGATGTCAACATTATGTTTACATCCTGAGCACCTCAATCTAAAGCAAATTCCAGTTCTCAGACACTGGCCCATAGCACACATAGAAACAAGCCCAAGACTTCCAGCCTAGATCCCAAGTCCCCCCACAATCTGGCCTGTTGTGCATCAGGACTTTCTAAAGCTGATGTGAAGACTCTCATATACAGTTAAAAGTTACCAAGGAGTCCAGAGATCTCTCTGTGTGTATGTGTTACCCCTAGCTACACTGGCCATATTGAAGTTAAAACCAAGCAATTTAGGTGCTTAAAAATCAGTTTTAAATACAGTAAATCCACTGTATAATAATGTAAGCAACACTTTAATGAAAGTATGTTTTACAAAACAAAAAGTAGCAAGAGTAGCATTGTTTTATAATTGTTATTCACCTTTTCAACTTATTTTGATTATTTTTTTTTATGTGTATGTGTGTATGTGAGCACTTACAAAGGCCAGAAGATGGCATGGGACCCCCTGGAGCTAGAGTTACAGGAAGTTGTTAGCTGCCCAATGAGGGTGCTGGGAAACTCAAGTCCTCTGGAAGAGCAGGAAGAATATTCCCAACTATGTAGCCATCATCTTTTTAACTTTAATTTAATTTAATTTCTTTCACATTTATTTGTGTGTGTGTGTGTGTGTGTGTGTGTGTGTGTGTGTGTGTGTGTGTGTGCGTGCGTGCCTGTGAAGGTGTGAAGGTCAGAGGACACTTTGTGGGAAGCTTCTTTCCTTTCACCATGGGATGGAACTCAAGTCGTCAGGCTTGGTGACACTGAGCCATCTCCCTGGCCCTGATTTTAATTTTTGACAATACAATCCTATGGATTCACAGTGTGGAGTGACGGAGTCAGCTAACACCACACTGTTCACATCTTGTCCATGTCTGGCTAGACAGTATTTAATGTCTGATGGGAAGGCAGATGGACTACCATATCTGCTTTTGTATTTAATCTTTTGCAATATGTTGTTTTGGTTCAAGTATATGAAGAAAGCCCAACTTCACACAGTTATGTAGTTAGAAAAGGTCTGGGTATTTGATTCTCTTCTTCAGAGAAATGTGCATATTCTTTAAACTACCTCACTCAGCATATGGCAGTTGCTTAAAGTTCAGACTCAATGTGGCATCCAAGCCCTGTCTGTCACATTAAAAATACACTTGTGTCTTTTGCTTATGAATGATTTTGTCCTGAAGGACTCAACAAAAGGCCTCAGGGACCCCTAACATCCCTAAACCATAACTTCATCACCAGTTAGCCTATTCCACATCCCTCCCCCACCCTCAGCTGTTTCCTAGTGGTACCGAGTCCCTTCTCATCTGTCTTGTGCCTCATCCTAAAATGTCCTTCCTTCCTTCCCTAGTTCATAAGACATCACTCATTTTCTAATCTAAAAATTAGTGTATTAAAGCAATCTTGTGCTTCTCTGTCTTGTTTTAAAGCCGTGTTTCCTTTTGAGAAATCTTAAATTTTTAAATCTTCATTTAACATTATTTAAATTCATAAACAAATAAGCAAAAACAAATTTTCTAATGGCTGTCTTAAGCATAGACTTCAAACTACCCACATACTCCCAACCACACCCAATGAAGAATTCTGGACTATACAGCTGTTTCCAGATGTATACCGTTGCCAGTTTTTGAACAGTCTCCTCTGAAGCTCCAAGGGAAGCCAGGCCAATTTCTTGGGAGAATTGAGCAAAACTGGGTTCAGCCAAGAGAGGAACATGACCTAAGAGTTCATGGCAGGTATCTCTGAAACAGAGACACAGTCTGTCACACTGTGATGCCTGGCACAAATGCATAAAGAACTGTTGAATCCCATTGAAAGTCAACCTTGTTTTCACTCTAGTTGATCAGGAGTAATGGATCATAGAGGAAATTAGCTGAATAAAGAAATGCCATTGGCTCCAAATCTCATCCCCTCAACACACATCCACTGATATCCCAAGTCCTCCACCCAAATCAAGTCTCTACTCCCATGTTTCCTCAACAAGACCCTCTCTGATCACACTTCCCAAAACAACACTCATATACATGCCTGTATTCTTTCTTTTCTGGTTTTATTTTTTTCCCTCCATGGCACACACCATCATCTGACATGATACATACTACATTTACTTATTTATCATCTGTAGATTCCCTCGAAATACAAACTTGGTGAAGACAATAATTTTATCTGATTTTTCCATCCCTTGTGCACCGAACTGCACCTGGCACCTAACAAGTTGCCCATTAACATAACAACAACAAGTGGTTGTATGTGTTTCAATGCCAGTCACCACCCTAACGGCTTCACTGAACACTTACAAGATGTTTTGTGCAGTGGTACCGTCACTCTAAGTAACAATCGGCTGAATGAACGACTTAAGTACTTACGGCTCTGGAGTATAGAGGGGATCTGAACTGTGTCTCACATACTGCGTGCAGTGAAAGACTCGGAAGGCTAACCCTGACAGGAAATCTCTTGGTGAGAGGTAACCAGCCACAGGACGGATGGAAAACCCTGTACATGCTGCAAAGCAAAGGAGAAAACAGACAACTTTCACCTCCGACGCAGAGCACTGACACTGGCCGGTGGCGCCAGGGAGCCCTTTCAAGGGGACGTGGAAACGAAAATGCAGCTTATGCAAACTGCAGCAAGCTGAGCATTACTAGGCACGCCCCACGGCCGGGTGGCGATCCTTTGACACACATCCCCTCCTTTCATGATAACAAAGGGGTTCCCTCTTTATTGTAACAGCTATAAAACACAGAACAATGTGCTCAGGACTCCAGGAGAAGGTAAAAGTGAAATACGAACTCGGGAGGCCCTAGATTACACTTGGCACCCTTCTTCAAACATGGGGAGCAGTCTAACTCCTACACACTGACAGTGGACATGTGAACTGGGGCGGTCATTGTGGAAGCTTCTCAAAAGGAAAAAAAAAATAACTAGAAATAGAACTGCCTTATGACCCAGGTAGACCATTCCTGAGCATATTCCCAAAGGACATTAAGTCAGCACACCACAGAGATACGTGTGCATCCACGTTTATTGCTGCACTAGTCACAGTAACCAAGAAACAGTCAGCCTAGATGTCCGTCAGCAGTACATATACACAGTGGGATTGCATCTCATCATAAAGAAAAAGGACATCATAACATTTGCAGGAAATGGGTGTAACTGACAAGCCAGGCAAATATTGAATGTTTTCTCTTATATGTGGAAGCTAGATTGAAATCCCCGTGTGTGTGTGTGTGTGTGTGTGTGTGTGTGTGTGTGTCTGTGTGTGTGTGTGTGTGTGTCTGTCTGTCTGTCTGTCTGTCTGTCTCTGTCTCTCTCTGTGTGTGTCTGTGTGTGTGTCTGTCTGTCTGTCTCTCTCTCTCTCTCTCTCTCTCTCTCTCTCTCTCTCTCTGTGTGTGTGTGTG